AGATCCTGCACCTGGATCTGGGCAATCCCCAGTATCAGTACAGACTGGGGGATGAATTGAGAGGAGCCCTGCAGAGAAGGACTTAGGGATACCAGCTGACAAAAAATTGGATATGAGCTGGCAATGTGCGCTTGCAGCCCAGAAAGCCAACTGTATCCTGTGCTACATCACAAGAAGCATGGTCAGCAGGTGGAGGGAAGTGACTCTCCCCCGTCTACTCTGCTCTCATGAGACCCCACCTGGAGTACTGTGTCCAGCTCTGGGGTGTCCAGTATGAAACAGACATGGACCTGTCAAAGTGGGGCCAGAGGGGGGACACAAGTACAGAGTACAACCTTCATGCCTGTGGTGCATGAAACACATTAGAACACTTTCTTTGAGCATCGTTTATACTAGAAATGTTACCTGCAGGCTTTTATGGGGTAGAAAAAGTGCAATTGCTTTTTAGACCACTGATTGTTCAGCTCATTGGTCAAAGTAGAAGGGCCTTTCAGTTGTGCCTGGAGGGCAAAAAATTGCTGACAGAAAGACTCAAAGAGAGGGGCAAAGACAGAATGAGAACTAGTCACCCCTCAGGAAAAAGAGCTGAGACTCATACTGCATGCTGTTGCATTTCTGTGGCTCTCCAGGGAATGTGCCACCATTGCTGGCAGGAGCAGCAAAGAAACTGTGCTTCTGTGGCTGCAGATATACAGAAGAAAGGAATGGATGAAAGAAAGAAATGGCAGAGGCAGAAAGCAATCTAAAATGGAAACATCTTTCAAACAAATGGTATTTCATACTTTGGCTTTTCCTGCCTGTAAGAGATGAGTTAGGCGACTTTCCAGCAGTGGGCCACTGGTGTTACTGGATACCTACTGGAATGTCCAACCCTGATGGTAGCTCCCTGCATTGCATACAGATTCCTGACTCTTCAGCTGTACTCCTCTGGCAATGCACAGTCCTGATTTTGACAGACTTTCTTAATGGTTGTGGTACTCTGCATAAGTGAATGTGTGTTTTTCTCCTCATATGACCACATTTTTTCTTCTCTAAAATCTTTTTGAAGCTAAATATCCATGACTGATGACAGAAGCAGAGAACTGAAATACTAGTTGTGGCATAACAGCCTGAAGTTAAAGTGAGCATAATTCTAAAAAGTCTGTAAATTCATACAGGTTTTTCTTGCCACCACCTCATGCCAGTGAAACACGTATGACTAGCTAGGACAAAGACTGCTTTTAGCAGAGCAGAAATAGGGAGGGATGTTGGTTAGACCTCTTGGTTAGACTCACAGATGGGTCTGTCCTTTGGATGAGCAAGAGTTGAGTGGGGGTCCCTTGATTTGACTCACAGGACTGGCCCTTTGCTCTGCTCCCTCTTCAGTACGCACTCACCCCAGACCTGTTAAAGCTTCTGTGACAGACTTGTAGAAAAGGTGGCCACTGAAGCCACATTTTATTTTAATGTAATTTTAAAATTTACTATTAATTCCATTATCTCTCATTAAAAAAAAATCCAACCAATGAAACCTTTTATACCTTTTTATGTATATATATACATATATATATATGTAACTACATTATAAAAAGTGCATGTAAACAAAAAGATTGGGCTTCAGATGGTAACCAGTGGCAAGGAGTTGTTAAATCCCAGGTACCCCTGCGGGACAGAACATGGCTAATGACAATGTCCTGGCCCTAAGGGCCTTTAATGTTTCTCCAGGGTAAAGGGAAAGGTTTATCTTCCAGCTACTTCAATGGCTCTCATACATGTATGTAAGTATAAGCACGTATTTTATCTATCCATACATATGTATGCATTTAAACATGTATAACTAACAAATATGTACAAAGTTGTACAAACACATATAAAATGCATTTATCCCTGTTATATATACGGATGTGCATGTAAACACTCCACTGATCCTCCACCGCCCTCTATGCAATGCCTACCGTTCGCCTCCAGGTGTACTCAGATCCCTATTTTTTCCCTCTGCATGTCTTCAGTGCTCCATCACGCTGCTGGAGGATGAAATGCAGAGACTTCCCTCTGCGCCAGCCTCACATAAACAGGAGTGCAGAACTGAGACACGTGATGAGGGGAGAAGGTTAAAACCATCAGAGAGGAGCGATGGAAAAGAGGCCTTTCTACAAGGATCTTTCCTCCTCCCTCCTTTCCTAATAGCTGCTGGGAGACATACAAGCTTCAAAGTCGTATGTACTGCCTCTCAGGTTGGCTCTTCACTGCAGCTGCTCCATGTAATGGATGTCCTGCAGGATCACACAGTTGGCGACTCTTCCCCAGTGCCTGGGGGTGATGGGCAGGGGAGCTGCCAGCATGCAGAGGGCCTGACAGCAGGCTATGGCAGCCTACAGTTAACAGAGTGTCAGATGTGCTAGGTCAGGTGTGTCTGGCAGGCTGCTGTGGTTCTCTTCTGAGCACGGTGTGAGAGAGAAACCAAGGACTAACACTCCCCAGGGGCCATCACAAGCCTGCCAGCCCTACCAACTGATTTGATGCCCTGGTTGCTCTTTGTCGACTGTGTATCTGCCATGAGGGGTCCATTCCGGCCTCCTCCCACTGCCAGAAGAGGTGTTGGCATTGACAGTGCAGGCCTGGTAGATGTCCCTTGCCCCTTCCAGCTGAGAGGAAGGACAGCAGGACATAGGCAAGCTCAGAGGAGAGGATGACAACCTCTCTGGCCATGCGCTCACCTTCTTGTGCTCCTGGCCCCAGATTCTGTACCAAACTAAAAAAATGGCAGTAGAATGACAGAATAATTCTGATTGGAAAAGACCCCAGGAGGCTTCTAGTCCAAGTTCCTACTCAAACCAGGGTCAGCTATGAGGTCAGGTGAGGCTGTACAGAGCTTTACTCAGTCTTGCCTTAGACATCTCTAAGAGGAGAGACTGCACAAGCTTTTTCAGCACCCTATTCCACTGCTTGACTGTCCTCAGAGTTAAAAAGTTTTTCCTTATATCCATGGCCCCATATAATGTCTTGTGCAAGGAAGGGACTTTCCCAGATTCTGGAAAGGATGAAGGGTGCATTCTGAAGGTGGAACAATAACCCTCCCCCCCAGCAATAGACTTCTCGTACTTAAAGACTGTTGTTCACCCTACCATGCGATCCAGACTGGTATCTAGGAGACACCCTCTCCCAACAAGAAAACTACAGAACCATTTAACTTGTAGGACAATAATGGGGATGTGCAAAAGCTCATGGGCAGATCTGTGGCCCGGGAGCTCCAGGCTCTTGTTTTACATCTCTCCTTTCCAGGACACCTCTTAAGGCCCCGCGGCTTTGGCTTTAAATCTGCAGGGGGATAGTTTTACCATTCCTAACTCATCTCTTAGTTTTCCCCCACCTCTCCAAACATTAAGCATTCCACTTGCTTCGTACCACAAAGCTATGAGCTGAAATCACACAACTTGCTTGCAGGTAGGGAAAGCATCCCAAATGGTTTCATGTCAATTCACCCCAGGTCTTCCTGACTTCTCCACTCCTCTCCCTTTCTCATTTGCCTTGCAGAGGTTGAGCTGGGAAAAAGGCAGGTAATTCTTACCAGATGGACAGAGACATGTTTCCTTCCCGCTGTTCATGCCCAATTAGGTAGAGTATGACAAGGAAAAAGAGAGTTCCCATCTCACTGGAGGGTAGAAACCCCAACCAGATGCTCATAAGCAAGCCAAAGGACCTCCTGACATAAATTCTCAAATCAAAAAAGGAGATAGCACACCTTTGAGCTACCCAGACTAAAACCAAAGGAAAATGTTTTGTTTGTTGGGTTTTGGTTGTGGGTTTGGTTTTTTTTTCCCCTGCAGAAACAGCTAGGACTTCACCTCCCCTCCTTCCTAAGCCACACAAATGAAGGAAGCCAAAATGCCTGTCAGCATATTTCTGGCCTGGGAGCTCCATGCAACTGCATACCATTTCAGCCTCTACTTTGGAGTGGCCTTCATGGATTCCCTTCGCAGTCAGATGTGGTAAAAGCAAGCCTTACTGGCACTGATTACTTCCTGCAAGATTTCACAACTGCTGCTGCTAGGCTTGCCCTCCTGTTTTTTTACCTTGGCAGGTCAACTTGTCAACCAGAGGGCTCTGCAGCAATGCACTGCAGAGCTTCCTGACCCATGGGTGTACCATGTTACTTCATGGGACATGCTGCAAGTTGCAAGTTCTTGGTAGAAGCTATTTACTGTTCTCCTGGTTACCATATTTGGCTGGGCATCAGACCCTCCAGGGCTTTCCTCAAATCATGAATGTTCTGCTTTCAACAATGTGCTCTTAAACAAGAGATTAAAATAAACGCAGCCTAAATTAAAAAAGTTGACTCTCCCCTGTGTCCGTCATTATCTTCAGCGGATTCTTGCTCTGCAATTACCTTTATAACACACGGGTACCTACCTACTGGTGCTAGTTCTGGGACCAGCAGCAGGCTGAAAACTTCCAGCCCCTCCCCGTGACCTTCTCCTAAAGGCCCGGAGGAACACCGGTACCAATATCTACCAGGGTGGTGTCGCGTTTCTGCGTGGTAGCGGGTGAAGAAGCTCCCGGGAAGACGCCCCGCGCAACCCCAATCCACAGACCGCGCGGAGAGCCACGCTCAAGCCACAGCGGGGCTGGCCCGCGCCCGGCCCGCGCTGCCGCCGCGCTCCTCCCCTGCGCTCCCGCGCAGGTCGCCCCTCACCCGGGCCGGGACCGAGGCCGCCCGCGCTGTGCTGCCAGCCCCAGGCCCTGGTGGGCGAGGCGCGCGACCACTGCCGGCGGGAGACGGACGGCCCCGCCCCCTGGTCCCTCCTCCTGGTCCCTCCCCCTCCTCCTCCTCCTCCTCCCCGCAGGAGACCTGCGCGCCTGCGCTGGGCTCCCGTCGCGTCACGTGACCCCGCTCGACGGGAGGGATCCGCTCGCTGCCCCAGAAGGCGGGTCGCGTGGACAGCGACACGCGCGTCGTGTCACGTGATGCTGTCCCAGGACGATGATGTCAGTGGCTACCGGTCACGTGATCCTTGCCTACGCGCAGTGGGGCCGGGTGCAGATGGCGGACGCTGAGGCCGAGGCGGCTCCGCGGCCCGAGATGCAGCGGCTGGTGGCGGCGCTCCGAGCCCGCCTCTGGCAGCTGCAGACGGAGCTGCGTGAGCAGGAGGTGTCGGAGGCTTCGTCCCGCGCCTACTGCCGGGGCTTCTGCCAGGTAGGGGCCGGGCAGGGGTGGGCCGCGGCGCGGGCTGCAGGCAGGGTTGCCGGGGCCGCGGCGGGCCC